CTTATTTTTGAAATGTGAACTAGCAATTTTTGTACAGATGGGGTAAACAGGGTCAAGAAATAAACTAATTTTCAAGTAGATGATTCCTCATTTATATAGATAGACAAGTGGGACTGGAGAGATGACTCAGAAGTTAAGAGCACTTTTAGCTCTTCCACAGGACCAGTGTGCAACTCTCAGTAACCACATGGCAGCTAGAAACCATATGTAAAATATAGTCCCCTGATATCTTATTTGTGTACCACACATGTAGACAGAACACCCATACACATATATTTTTTAAATATTAGAAAAAGTAAAGTAAGCATAATAAAATGTCTACTTTTCATAGTCACCTTCATAGATTTGGTTTTCATAACTTTGCAAGCACATAATGTCTCTCATTAATTGCTTGTTATCTTTTCAGTGATACCAGGGTCTATTTCCAAGTACACAATCTCTTCTATGTCTTTGAACATTTTTTGAATTAATAGTTGCATGCTTAACATAATTTCATTCATCCTCTTAGCTATTGCTGTTTGCTATGCATCTTGAATAACTTTTCATATCTTTCCATTTTCTTACTTTTTTTAAAATTTTTTTCGAAACAGGGTTTCTCTGTATAGTCCTGGCTGTCCTGGAACTCACTCTGTAGACCGGCTGGCCTCGAACTCAAAATTCCGCCTGCCTCTGCCTCCCAAGTGCTGGGATTAAAGGCGTGCGCCACCACCGCCTGGCCATTTTCTTATGTATAAAAACATAATTTCTCCTTGTAAAAATGTTCTATTATTGAACTAGTCTTTAGTGTTTTCTAGGCTGTTTTTGTGCTTTGCCTACTTCCTACAATAGTGTCATAAAGGACATATGCAAGTAGTTATGTGCATATGAGAAAGTATATTATCCACAGGAAACAGTCCTACAATTATACCATTATATAGGTTTAAATGATTGTACGATTGTACTGTTGACAGTTGTGGTTAAATCATCTCTCTGTGGACAGTGCTAATTGCATCTCTCTTTATAGACATACTTGTTAAACTTGAGTCATGATTCATGGTTATTTATCTGAACAAAATACTCAAGATTTATACTTCCATTCCTCATAAGCTCACAGAAAAGGACATATGCCTAACATTTACAAAGATTATTACTAAACTCCATGACTGTATTTTGAAGTTGAAATCCCATCACCACCACTTCCGCCTGTTTTGTGCGATGAAGATTCAGGGCCTTCTTATGGGCTTTGAGAATTGACTAGATGGATTTGTAGTATGATAGCATTATCAGGACATAGTGTAAAATGAGAGCAGGGTGCTCATTACATACAGTGAGTGTATTATTGAAAAAAATTATATATATTCCCTTGTCCTTTCTCCTCCCTCTGCTTTTGTGGTTACCAAAGGTAAGCATTCTCTTCCACTACATGCTCTTAACACACATAAGAGATCATTTTTCTGCCTTTACTTTGGTGGAATACAGTAGTGGAAGCATTCCACTGACAAAAGCCTTTGAATCCATCATCCAAGATAGTTGTTTCCTCTTTTAAGCCATTTCTATCAGATATTTGTCACAGCAACAAAAAGATGTGGCCAACACAACTACCTTTAGCTTTGAAGGCTGAACCCAAAGAGGAAAGAGAGTTTCCCAGGTTCACAAAACACATAGTGACAGATTTGGGTCTTCACTTCAGATGTCAAGATTTAAAGGCAAAAGCTCCTTCTACATTTTTGCCTATATGCTAAAGGTTCCTTGGATGCTGGAGGTGATTCTGTAAAGAATAATATGCATCATTTTATAAGTCTTGCCAGTCATGAGGCAATGGATTTAGAAATTCTAATTTTATTATCTGTCCCAATGGATTTGTAATGCAAGCTTAAGATAAAGCATTTTTCATGGATTTTTTCATGTATGTGTACCTGTACCTTGAGAAGATGCTATTCAGTTTGAAAACTACGAACTAATGCAAAGGATCATTAATGTTATAAAAACTTATTTTTTTCTAATTTTTATTTCTTATATATTCAACCAGTGGATCTTAAAATTGGTATTGTTAAAGGCTAGCCTATGATATTTGGGATATTTAAAAGAATCCTTGTAATTAAAAACCTTTGAGCCTTCTAACTATGTTCAAGTATTGTTTTTTTTCTGTTTGTGTTTATTTTAATTTATTGTCCATATATCACTTTGTGCTACATCTGTGTCAATTATAATGTTAAATATTAATGATGTTTACAACACAGAAGAAATGACATCAAAGAGACAGCTGATTTGTTTAAAAAAAAAAGAAGCCAAGTCAGAGACCCATAAAAATGATGACTTATTCGGGGCACTTGATCTCATAGAAGTGGAACTGAAGTTAGATGCAGTCTATTTGACTGTAATTCATATCAGAGAAAATGAAACTCTATGCAGAGTAGTTACTAATAAGTAAAATAAACAATTAAAATAATAGAAGAAAATTCCCTTGAAGTCTCATATCGATCAACCTCCAGCATTGAGAATCTGAGAGGTCATTTTGTTGGTCAATAATAACACTTGATCTTGGACGCTGTAAATTTAATAGAGAGCATAAAATACACAGATCGATATTTTGATATTGGGAAAGCTCATTTATAGGTTGTTTGTTCTCAAACTTGTAAATGAAATGGAAAGCTCCATAAACACATGGGATCACTTTTCAAAAACCCCACTTAACTTATGCAGCCATTGATGACTAAAAGGCTTTTATTTTGTCACGACTACCAGTTCTCACAAGCTCCTCCCCTCACAACCTCCTTCCCTCACAGGCTCCTCCCCATCGTCGTTTCTTCCCACAGTGCCTGTAAGACCTTAATTCCTTAGAATCAAGTAGGCTCAACTTTCATAGCCTCACGTAAGAAGCACTTTTTTCATCTACTCTATTTACAAAGCAGGAAGATCATGACCATGTTCCTTTACATAAGGGTTAATGGAGAAACTCAGCTTCAACTTGTTCCGTAAGAACAGGAGTGCCAAAATGGCCCCACTACTTTCTCAAACGATTAAACAGGATACCTTGGTCTTCTAAGAAGTACCATGCATAACATAAGTTCCAACAGTCAAATGTATTTGGGGAATGACATTCTATAACTGCCTCTCAGAAAGCCACAAGTCATAAGGGGATACTAAGTGCCCAGAGATGACCTATACTAAAGTAACTGGTATAATTTAATATTACCCCATAGAGTTTTAATTTTAGCCCATACACGACCACAACTGCACCCACTGGGGTACTGCTTTATAAAACTTAGTGTTGCTCTTCTCCAACATTCCCACCTTTGAATACATTCAATGATTTGGAATGCCATAGCTGTGTATAAGCAGGTAACCATGGGGATAAAATGTAGCAGGGTCCTAATCCCCTGTAATCTAGAATCCATTTTTTAAAAAGCAGCTAACATAGCATATTTATATGAAAGCTTATTACTTAGGGTACATAGCTCCTATTTTCTGAATATATGTAGTTTGTGTAATTTTATTGCAAAATAATGATATCATTATATACTTTGTGTACAACCTCATTTCACTTTATTCTCCACTTCTATGCTGGACAGTTACCACTACAATGAGAACCAGACCCACCTGTGAAATAGCATCTGCAGCCATTCAGTGCTGTAGTTTTTCTGCCTACTTTGATCATATGACATCATCTTTAATATTGTCTGACAAGAGTTTAAATATTATTTTAGAATTAATCATTGAAATCCATGCTTGGAGGATTATATGATATTATATATCATATAATATTCTCAATAGTTAGTAGGGGACCAGAAAAGCTTTGTTCCCCTTCATAATGGTTTATGAACCTCAATTAAAATTTCACATACAATTTTAACTGTGTCATATTCCTGTTTTTACAAAGCACTCTTATTCTTGTCCTTGTTAAAACTAAGTGGTACTGATTAGCCAAAATAAATAATTTTATTTCATTATAATAGTCTGCTAATACAGACCAAAGTATATCTCTTTGATCAAACTTGATTAGTTCTTTTAACTTACATCAGTGAAATGTCATAATTGTTCAATTAACATATAAAACTAGGAAGCAAATGTTACAAAGTATTTCAAGTAATGTAGATCAAAATTTCATTTCTTCTAATCTTGTTTTAACTTTCAAATGAGGACAATCTTATTCTGTAATACTCCTGAATTTGAAAACTTACAAATGTGGGATCTGGAGCTGTAAATCAAGTGGTAGCATGTATGCCTCGCATGCACAACAAGACTCTGGGTTCAACCCCAGCACTTCCCCAAACAGTTTATGTGTGTGTAAAAATGTGGAAAAATAGCAGAGTGTTTGAGGTTTATGTGCATAAGTAAAAACAGTTAAATTTTGTGTTTTTAAATTCATATGGAGGTTCAAAAGCACAGATTATTCTGAGAGAGTTTAGTATATTACAAATAAGATATGAACCATCGGTAAATGTGTGTACATACTATTATTTCTAGCACTGTTCATGTTTGTGAACACTGAATGACTTAAAACTGTTAGTAGCGGTGTAAGCTTTTGTTGTTTTAGGAGTGGGGTTGTGATAAAACTGTCTTGGTGAGGTTTTCATCAACCTCTTTATATCATATGATATCTTATTTACAAGGAAAGTTGTGTCTAGCCTTGGCTCTTCCTTCCCCTGTCAATTAACACACCCCTTTTGCAGGCAATTATTTGTTGCTTTATGTCCCACCAAGGATTTGTCTTGTGCCAGGGTGCCAATTATGCACAAGGTATATGATAATCTGTCACACTTGGACCTAACCAAGATCAATAGAATCATTCAATGGTAGTGGAATTCTTTTCTCTGTTGTCACACATTCCTGGGAAAATGGCCTGCTTTGAGAACTGTGGTCCCTGGAATCTTTCACAAGGAAGCATTTATGTCATCTATATTTCTTAGCTTGCCTGTCTCCAGGCCCCAACACTAATATCTAAAATAAATAATGTGCCAATTGTGTGAAAAGCAAATAGTGCTTCTCTTACCCTATTCTCCTTTCCTTTGCTTTTGCAGATGTCATCCATACTGTAGGGCCAATAGCCAGAGGCCACATTAATGGTTCCCACAAGGAAGACCTTGCAAATTGCTATCAATCATCCTTGAAGCTGGTGAAAGAAAATAACCTCCGATCAGTTGTAAGTACTTCAGAGTTCTTTATTTTGGATTCCTCTAAGCCTCTATGCAAAGAAAAAGGCAAGTGCTGAGCTTAACATAATGCTGGACATTTCTTTCACATTGACAGTGTGTGCACAAGTAAGCTCTCACTTTAACCTTTGCCTGGGTGAGTGTAGGTGCCAGCATCTACATCCGGATGCCCATGTCTACAAATGCATCTTCAGCTTCAGTTCCCATTCAGAAGCTTACTCTGTATGTTTTTCCTGACTTTATAAAATCTCAATTATACCAGGAATGTAACAACCTGAGCATTTACATTGTAAATACCCAACAGTAAGTCAATTTGCTCTAGAGTAAGTTAATTTGCCTAGGATCTGAGGTTTTTTTTAAATCCACAGAGATTATAACTTTACTGAAGGTATAGGGTCGGCAAAAAGTTAAATTTTTTTTGAGTCCTCAGCAGGCTGACTAGAACTCAGCATTGCTTGCAGATTCCCATGAGTGGAGTGAGGTTTTCAAGGGGAACATTAAACTTTACCGGCGTTATCGCTATACAGGTTATTGCTATACTTGTTACCATGGATGTAATTACAAAGAACTGTTCAGTGTACCATGGCAAGTTCGCTTGAAATAACGAAGTATTTTACAAGCCAATTTTACCTTATAATACCTTATAATGTTTGCATATTATAATACCTTATAATGTATACATATATTAACATATATGTATATAATTTGTTCAATCTATTGATTTAAAAAAATCTCTGTTTGCAAATTAATAAGTACCTAAAACTCCACAATTGTGTGTGTGTGTGTGCGCGTGTGTGTGTGTGATATGCATACAGGTATCTCCATCCATGAGTATGCTGTAGTGGCCATAGGTCAACACTAGGATGTCTTCCTCTTATTTTAAGAGAGAAGGCCTCTTACTTAGATTGGCTATACTGGTTGACAAGAGAGTCCCTGGGATCCTCCCCAGTACCAGGGTTATAGTCTGTTCCAGTTGCCCCAGGAACAGGAAGTCATGCTATATAAAGCAGTCTGCTTTCTTATTTCAAATTTCAATAAAGACAGTCCCCCCATAGACATGCTCATGGTCCAATTTGATCTTAAAAATCCCTCAATTGAGACTCCCATCTTAGGTAACTCCAGGTTATGTCAAGTTCACAGTTGAAGTTATCTGGGACACAGACCCAGATCTACAATCAGCTTTGTAATGAATGGTTGCTAGGGATCTTAACTCAGGTCTTCATGCTTTTGCAACACTTTACCCATTGTGCTGTTCTTAATGCTCCAAGATGCTATTCTTTGAAGACAAAGATGAAATTCGAAGAGAGTGGATTAAAGTATGAAGCGAGTGGTAACTTTGGTCTCTTAAGGAAAATCAAAGCAAATATATATTTAGGAATAATAAAATATGCCAATATGACTAGTTGATTTTATAAGCAAGGGGCTAAAGTGCCTATACAGTGGGTATCCATATAAGTTCTCACCTTGGAATATATATATTTTAATATCTGAAAAGAAGGTGCTAGTAAATTTATAGGTATTGCTAATGATAATGTTTTCAAAAGGAAACAATGACAAGACATCTATTTCAACTATTCAGAAGCACCATTCATCATTTTAACAGAGGAAATAAATGTTCCTTAGGTATGATCTCCTTAAATTAATATGTACAAGAAAAGGACTAAGAATTTCAAACTAAGGAATGTTCAGACATGTTCTGGTCATCTTGAAGTTATAATTAAGTCTACCTTCGTATTTTTGATGATGACTTTGAAGTTCTAAACACCTGACTTGAATAAAATTAGCAGACAATACTGAACCAAATGAATACAAATATTGGTAAATAAAAATGAAGAGAGAAAATATCCGTTGAATCTGAAGTGAAATGCTCAACTTAATTAGCCTTGTTCTTGGGTATTTAACTGGAAATGCTATCAAGTTTTGTTCCTTATCTTTTAATGTAGTCTGCTATGCTTACTCTCTATCCTTTGATCCCTCCTTCCCTTCTTTCCTTTGTCTTTCCATATCTCCTGGAAAGAGATAATGGGGCTGTTTACTTTATATGGTGGATTGTGTTCTTGACCTCCACTAAATAAATCCTTATACTGATGTCACCAAATTGTGATTATTTGCAGAGAAATGGAAGATTTGTAAGTAGGTAAATATGGCAGGTTTTATGCTTTATAATACTGAACATAGTAGATTTATCACAATATATGAGTCTATATTGGTGTTAAAAGTAGCATTGTTATTAAGGTAGGCATTAAACTCAACTTGATCATATTTATTTACTGGAGAAGTCACTAATTGATCCCTGAAGCAGCTCCATGAGTTTTACAGGGATGAGATAACAGTAGCAACCCAATGGTTCCTTATATCTGGAAACAAGCTACGGAATTGTGACATCATCTGTCTGTGGCTATATACTCTTGAAATTTGCAGATATTTGGTCTTAATATTTTGACGTCAAATGACTTTATTTGGGCACAATAAAATAGATAGTGATAAAATTACTGAGCAGCTAAGACTGAGGAAGGAAAACTTTGAGAGAACTTAAAGGTATTGTTCTAACAGAGTATTATAAGTAGTGAAAATAAGTTTAGCTAGGTTGTAGTTGTTTGAAATAGTGACAATCATTAAACGAAACAGAGAGTAATGTTACAACACCAAATAGGCATTTAGAAATCAGGTGATTTAGGGAATTGGCTATATTATGGATAAAGTATTCACTATAAAAATGTATAATTTGTGGGAAATTCTTATTCTTTCTTCTTCTCTATACATCCTTTAAGATGGATTTTTCTAACTGTATACCTTATGTGTGCTTAACATAGTAAAAGTAAAACATAGTAATATAATGTAGTAAATATGATGTAGTATTTTCTGTCTGTGAATGTTTGTCTAATATAGCCTCATCAATACTGTGGATTAGTTAAATTTAGGCTTGTAATAATTATTTCCTGATCTTATGATGATGAATGCAAATGAAGAAGTAAGGTAGTTCGTGAATCTTACACCTAATTTCTCCAATATCTAATTCTTCCAACCTAAGTTCAAATATAATTTTGTAGTATTTCTCAAAGATTTGGACTTGCCTTGGGTAAAATTGAAATATGTGAAAATTGATTTGTTAACAAATTTGAGGGCAATGATTCTAATATAGATAAAGGCCAATGAAGAGGATAATTAGAAGTTAAAATAATAAAACATTCGAAGCAGGCATAGTGAGTAAAGAGAACCACAAAGGGTTCACGTTTTTGTTTCATTTTTCTGTAAAACTTTGAGAACGGAGAGGCAAATAAAAGAAAATTATAGGTCCTGAAATAACATGAGAATTGTAGAACCAAGCTAGTAGAGTCCAGCACCTGAATTGCTTTGAATTTTGAATCAGTACAGTGTCCTTTTGACTCTGCACTGCTTAAATCATACATGTATAGGTTTCTATCAACCTAAATAACCTCAGTGGCTTCATTCCTTCTTAGACAGAATTGACAGACATGATTTCATTTTGGTGCTAACAGCTTTCACAGTGTGTTGGTATCTTGGTGAAACTTCAGGTGTGAGTGGGGTGAGTATTGGTGGCGAAGGAAAGGAGGAAGAATTTAATTTGGGTAAGGGCTGGTAAATAAAAAGACAGTTGTATCTGCTGTCTCTAAATCATGTTGCCTTAGTTGATCTTTTTTTTTGAGAATACTCATAATTTTTGGATTTTCCAAGTCTTTCTTGGCCACTATTTTACTATCTCCTGAAATCTTCTGTAGCAAACTCTTACTACCAGATTCATTTTTAGGAGTCTAAGCTTTGTTATGCTAAAATATCTCTAAGGGTTCTCCTCTAAGCATCAACTAAAAGGAAAAAAAATTATTTATCACTGAATTATTGCCTCACAAAAAATTCTTCTGATGATTCAATGTTATGCACACAGTTTATATTTGCTGCGTGAAATAAAAAAAAATATGGATGCTCTGTTGGAGAGTTGATGGTAATCAAAATGGAAGCCAGATTTTACTTGGACTAAGGTTATTTTCTTAGCAAGTATAGTTAATAATTAATACACAGTTTATGTGGTAATGGACAGACTACAGAATTGGTGTTTACTCTAATGGTGTATATTACTATAATTTTCATGAATGTTTTCTAGATAATGTATTAGGTGGCAAAAGTATGATATATTTTTACTATTAAAAGCCACCTAGTGCCGATAGAGATCTCTTAAAACTAGATAATGTTCTTGGCATGACTCATAGATCCTGAGAAGCAACAGCTTTTAATGAGAAAGAAGGCAGCTCTGTTCCTTCAGTGCTACCGCTAGGCATGGCAGTAATAAGTGATTTTGGAATTCTGCATGGGTCTCATTCTGGTGTAGGTTTTCATTTTAAGGCGTAGTCAAGTGAATCTTATTTTCTTAGACAAGTTCCCTTCTGAGAGGGTTGCCATGGCAATGAGTTCTCAGCCAGAAATTCTTAAATGTTGGTTTTATTTCATTATCTGAGTTTCTATTACAGGCCACATCAATCAATGCAGTCCTCTCTTGAAGAAGACTTTCACAATATTAAGGAGTTGGCCCTTTAATTCCTTACCTCTCTTCCTCAGCTTAACTTGATGTCGCCATTTCCCAGGCAGCCCTTCATCTCAAAGAACCCATTTTGTAGAGTCACATGTTTGATCTTTCTTCTCACTTTCTTTGAGGCAGCATCTCGGCTTGTTTCTCCACTGTCTTCCTTTATAAAGAATGATGCAGTCTCACATCCTTCCTAGTCGGGTTTCTCCCTGCAGTGGGACTAATGACACTATTAATAAATAACAAGAACAAAATCATTTTTCCATTTGAGCTTCACTCTATGGTTTACACTAGTGTGCTGCTGTATATCATCTCATTTGTACCTCTACTTCTCTAGCTAGCTGCCTGAGTCTCTCATTGGTTTGGCCAAAGTGGAGAAATAAGACTGAATGAAGACTCTGTCTTTCCTAATCATTCCCTATTACAGGATTTCTTCATCTGGTGTAAAAT